GAGCTTGCTAATTTTTTTTTCCCCAGAAAACTTTTGATAAACATTTCATTGGAAGCAATTAGCCAGTAGAATCATATAATTGTTCAAACGAAATGAGGGAAGTCTCAAAATAAGCTGAGGTTTAAGTCATTTAACTAATAGCTCTAAACTTATTGTGGTCAAAGTAATTAAGAAACACTCCGTAATAAACAATTAAATCTAAAATGACTAATGTAGATACACTAGATAGCAAGTATATACTACGTAATACGTATAAATATTAAGAAATACTCTGTAATTAATACTCCCTTTGTATCACTTTAGTTGCCTCATTTATTTTTAAAATAATTATTGTAGACTTTATAAAAAGTAAGAGGTTTTTGGTACTGTAGCGATATTATATTGTAGTAGTAATATAGTTGTTTTTCCAATGAGTTTCTTTCCAGAAAGAAAATTGAGACAATTAATTTGATACACACAAAAAGAAAAGTGAGATAATTAAAGTGGTACGACAAAAGTATTATTTATGGAGTATTAATTTAAAAGTCGCTTAAATCCTTTCCAAGTAGATTATCCGGTCTTGTTTATGTCTTTTGGGCATATAACAGTTCCAAGACACCCAAATTCGAGGCTCAACATGTAATTTAGTTAGGCTCGTAAACTTTTATGTCATGAATGCACATATATAGCCCCATACAATTAATACATAGATTGATGATAAAACAATGACCATAACACCGTTGTAATCACTACACAGTTACTAAGCAATTGTAAATTAATCAAAATTATTACAACACATTATACTACGTACTACGGAGTACTGTATATTTATATGTACTCCGTATCATTTTTTGTGTATGTGTATCTTATAGTCTTATACTATCTACGGAGTATGTGGTTATAAAGTCGTAGCTTTTTACTCGATTGTGGATATATGTTACTTTATAGTAGTTACGTTGTTTTTAAGACACGAGGTTCCATTCTAAAAGGTTAACCTGATAAAAAGAGTAGTAACTCATTTGTTAATATAACACTTTATTCATCCAAACTTTTCGGTGTGGGACATTTAATTTAACAGTTGTTAAATACTTCTATAGCTAAACTATGGCCATAGTACATGGCCAAATCATAACCATACCATGCATGACCAAACATTTACCAAATCAGAGTTTTATAACACACTTGTCGTTTACATTTATAGAAAAACGATGATCAAGCACAATCACAATCCCCAATACTACTATTACGTACCTCATAATTACAAAACCTTTTTGTCAAACAACTTTAATTACATCAAAAGGATGACGCGATATAGCAATTACGGCATGATTATCATAGAATTGCCACAACATTAAATTATTAGAAAACTTTAATTTAAAAATTTTTACAACTAGGTAGTCGAATAATTTTGTAGAAAAGTAAACACCAAATCCCAATTGTTATCATACAATCACCATTGATTACCATATTAAAAATTGAACACTTTTTGCAATAAAACGATGACAATATCACAAGTACCACCTGTTAGATTATTGGACTTATTCTACATATGATATTAACAATATATTATTTATTGGGTTAATTGTATGTTATATGCTATCTTATATTTAGCCCAAAAATTAGTGGTCCTATGGATATTAATTTAAATGGGCTAATAAGTTATCTAATAAGGTATAGGGCCCAATTGTGTAGAAACCCATGGCTTAACCTAATTAATGATGGGCTGATTAGGGTTAAGCATTCTCTATAAATAGAGGGGTTATGGTCCCTAGTTGAACACGCCATTCTGTCTTTCTGCATCCCATCGCTAGAGAGATAATTCCCGAGGGTGTGTATCAACTAGAAGACGCAAACCCTAGGCTCCGTCTCCCGAATCTCTAAAGATCATCTCCAATGGAGTCAGGTACGCTTCCGCTCAGTTAGTTCTCTAGATAATTCCAATATGAAGATTAAAGTATTGTCGGATTTATTCCAACACCACCTAATTAAAATACAATTACCAAATCAAATATTCACTGTGCAATAGTAAAGCAGTATTAGAGCGCGCATGATGAAGACAAAAAACATAAATGGTCTTACATTAGCCTTTCTTTTGTACGGAGTAGTTATTATTTGCTTTGTATGATGTGGGAGCTTGCAGGATTATGGCTCTATAGACAAGTGTAGTGACAACAGGTAGAATGCATTATGTAGAATACTTAGGTCAACATGCTCCTAGCATGGCTCTTTAGACAATTCTTTAGCATATCTTTGACACAACTAGCTGAAAAGATGATTTTATAGACTTTTTAGTATCTGTTAGCTTTAAGTGGTTGAAAAGATCTTAAAAATAAAAGATGGTAGCTGTTTGGTAAAAAATCGACTGTTTGATTTAGTTTTGTTTGGTATACAAACTGTTGGGACTAATTAATGTTAAAGGTCATAGACTTTCCTCATATGCTACTTCCTGTAGCATTTCAAAAAGATATTTTATTTCTTGAAAAGCTCTCAAATATTGTCATACCAAAGATTCAAGTAGAAAATTTTAAAGACTTTTTAAATAATATAAAAACTAGAAGGTAGAGAGAGTAGAGACTTATGCCTACATACTAAATTAGAGTGTAGACTTAGATATGTTCAGGGGCGGAGCTACTGGGGGGTCAGGGTGGTCAACCGATCCCGCTGAAAATGTAAGAGTGTAGAGCTCTGAATTATCTTCGATTTGATATATCATGGCTCTCATAACTAATTACGAGTAAAAAGTTATGGCTTCTAGAAAATCAACACTATTTAAGTTTGAAATTAGTAAAATTGTGATGCGTAATATTAATTATATTCACAAAATAGCGTGTAATTCACTTGTTACTTACGTGACATGACTTAGGGACAGAACAAAGACAACATATCTTACTGCTACGAGTGTCTACTCAATAAATGATTTTTTTCTAGTAAGAAATCTTGATACTAAATCGAGTATAGTAAGATCGAAGAGAACCATAGAGTACTAGGATAAGACAATGGATCTCATCCGAGGTACTCAAATCAACCCGTATAAAACAAGTTTATAATATATGTGACATATACGAAGTATATTAACTGCATATACTCTATTAGTTTCATTTAAACTACTCCGTATCATTTATCTAAGCTACATTCAATTCGGGAATTGTCTAAAAATAATCTACCGTTTTCATTCTATGTAAATTTGATTTCGACCCCGTTGAGTCATTTTTCTGGCTCCGCCCCTGGATATGTTACTAGTCGAGGTTAATGGCGTAGTGTTATATTACTCCTTTGGTGAGATTCGGTGTTTACTTGAATTTGAATCATTTTTCTCCATACAAGTTTCATGGTAATCTTCACCAAACGAACATCAATTGCATGCATCCCCATTTGTATTGCTTTTTTAGGTCTGCCAGATATGCTTAATTGGTCAAGTGTTCTTCTCGACACTTTAGATTTAGGTGAAGAAAGGAAATTTTATGAATGGTTAAAGAAGACTACTACGTTTAAATTGGACGAGGAAATGACTCTTGAAGAATTCAAAAGATCCATCATGGTCCATTTATTGTGTGTGTGCAGTATAATGGTTCCGCCTACTTTGTGCAAAGAATATATGTAGAATAGATGTTCAAACATTGACTACTTTAATATATCTATATGCAAAGACTTTATTGGAGGGAAGTTTTCATATTTATACGCTTAAAATTTAAAATTGACTATTTATTGTCGTGTATTTTAAAAAAATACCGAAAAATATACAATTGAAATAAAAGTAATGGACAAAAAATATATATGACTTAGAGGCTATATTAATAATTTTAGTGGGCATGATTGTGTTCAACTCTACACTATAGTGAATATGCATAGTAACTACAGTAATTATTTTTGTTTATAAGTTATTTTCAGTAATATTTAAGTAACATATTTCTATTCATCGTCAATATAATTAAAAAAACGTTCTAATTTGTTTTTACTCTTGGTAATTTTCACAATAACGATTCACCCCAACAAAGGATAGTTTAGGGAAGTCCAAGGAAAATATAAATATGGGGTGAAGGTATGATAAAGGAGAAAAAGAGAGAATAGCTAGGAAAGAAGATACAAAGACAAATATGAAAATGAGAGAAAAAAATGACAAGTAAAAATTAAAAGAAAGCACATGATTAAATGATATCCAATTACTCAGAGAAAAACAAGAATGTAGTTTTTGAGGTTGTTTTAAATGGTACATAATTATAATTTGTATATAAAATATTACTACAATTACTATGGATAATCGTACAGTTAAACACCATCATGATCTTTAAATTAATATGGTAGTCACTAAAGCATTAAAAATCATATTCTCATTCACTCCTTTTATTTTGATCATTTATTTGTCATGATATCTATTTCTTGGTACCAATAGGAAAAAGACAAGAAGATAATGAGCGTAGTACAGCTAGTAGATATGAATGTTACAAGGGGTAAATCACGAATTTGAATTCTAACCATTGCGACAACAAAGTTACCGTGTAAAAAATGTATATCACCTTTATAAATAATATGAACCAGAGCATCTTTCAATATCTATCACTAGTGTCATCTATTCTTTGACAAGTGAAAATTAAGAGTCTGTCTGGTAATATTAAAATTTGTTGAAGTTTTTGTATTAGTTGATTCTGCCGATTTAGAAAAAAATTATGGAGTATATGAAAAAATAACCAAAATGATCCTCTATAGTAATCTCAGTCAAGATAAAAAATAACTTCAACTTTACTTTTTCTTATTATTAAAAAATTCAGCCCGCGAAATCAAACAACATCTAACCAGAGGATATGAATGAATGATGCAAATCTTAAACGTAGTGGTCAAAGAGAAACCAGGTTAAAAAAGAAACGATCACAGCAGGTTAAACTCATGCTACAATCTTCGTGAAGCTAGCGCGTCATGTGCGTGGGCTCTACTCTACTGTTCTTATTAGTTAGGTGTAAAAAAGAAAGTGTAATTTATTACTGTATTTATTTTACTACTCGCTACGTATAAATCCATTCCCACCACAAAGTTCGCAAACTTTGACTTCAATACATTTTCATACTCTGTGCTTTTGCGACATAACCCCCACCCCCACCGGCCACCGGCCAACTCACTCCCCCTCCAACTTATATCTCCTACCTTCTCTAACCAATTCCCTTCCCGCAACCAAAATGGTGAAAGCCGGGAAATGGTTCCGGGGACTCCTCGGCCTCGGAAAATCCGAACACCCCGCCAGCCCGGACCCGAAACCGCCCAAGAGGCGATGGAGCTTCGTGAAATCCAACAAGGACACCCACCGGGCGCCGCCGCAGCCGCAGCAGAAGTCTCCCGTCGCGGTTGACAGGCTCGCCGAAAACGGAGACTCTGATCCGGCCAAACATGCCGTCGCGGTGGCTGCGGCGACAGCGAAGGTGGCCGAGGCAGCTATCGCCGCTGCTCAGGCGGCCGCGGCGGTGGTGCAGCTGACGAGCAGCGGGAGGTCCTCTGCCGGCGTGAACTCCGGTAAGCGGAGCGGGTGTACGACAAATTCAACGGCGTGCGTTAACCGAAACGGCGCAACTTACGGGGTCCGCGAAGTTCTCGCGGCGGTTAAGATCCAATCTCACTTCCGAGCTTATTTGGTAAGTTTCTCAGCCTTGTCGCGTAATAAATAACATCATCACGCTTAATTACCTTTCAAAGAGTAGGTAAAGAAACCCATTTCGATCTGGGGGTAGAAACGGCTTTTCAACCCTGTGAATAAACGACTAAATCTTAACTACCGTATAAAATGCTGTAAAGTGGTAATAAAATACCTAATTAATTTTCAAAACGTATGTTTTCCTTGTTTAATTTTATGTGTGTAATTGTCTGGTGATTGGTGTCTTTTTGTATGATGGTTTATGTAAGTTTGTCCTGAAACAGAAAATGAAAGTCTTGTTATATCCCAAAAGCCAAAACAGGGGAAAAATTAAGTGAGGAATAATTTATGTTTACAAGTTAGTTATTTATAAATCTATTTTAGAGGCCGTTTGGCAACACAAATTTTCGGTTTATCAGGTTTATCAATCAACTTTACACCAAACAAGTAACTTTTACTTTCGCGTGCTGAATTGTATGATAAGAAGAAAAAGTAAGATTGAAGTTACTTTTTTGCTGTATTGGCTGAAATTACGGTAGAGAACCATTTTAGTTATTTTACACATATATATATATATATATATTTTATTTTATAAATAAAATATACTGTATTTTAATTTTTTTTTTTAAAATAATAAGTGCTACCAAACGGAATTTTTAATAATTGGCTTTAAACTTTTAAAGTGCCCATTTGAATGGCTAATGAAAACTGAAAAGTATTTTTCATAATAATAAGTGCCTTTCTAGTTTCTAGAACTAGAAGGATGAAAGTCCAGGGAAAGTAGAATAAATGAGACATTATTATCTCTCAAATTTAAGATCCCACATTTGCTGGGTGTACATTGAAGATAATTCGCTTATTCTCCAACTCATTTGGTAACTTTCTCCTTATATGTATCAATCTTTTTATAGATTATTTTCAGAAATTATATTTTTTAGTTTTTTGTAGGAAACAAAATATATTCACGTGTTGTTACTTGTTCCACGGATAGTAAGTAGTACACAAAAAGAGGACAAAATAATACTTAAAATAAACTCCGTATAATATAAATGTAAAACTGATTGTAGTTAGCTAAGAGTGGAACATAAATCTTGAGTCACATTTTAATCCCATTTCTTAATCAACACTCCCTTCATCTTCGTAGGGCAGAAGATTCATTTGGACTTCTCGGCAATCAAAAATATGATTTTAGGAAGAATAAACGATGATCTGACTTAATGAGCTTGATTACGTTAATTTGTAATAAAATCATATTTAACTATGGAGTATTTATTATTAATACAGAGTATTAACATAAAAAATTATAAAAAAACGTAAAAAAACTCATATCAAGTTAATTCAATAAAAGAAAAATACCGTAAATTACTCTGTACTTATTTTGATTAGACATAGAGTCCGTTTGGTGATTCTGTTCTTTGGCTCATTAGTCAACTTTTTAATCAAATATATAACTTTTGATTTATGCGCTGAATAGTGTAATAAAATGAAAAAGCAAGATTAGAGTTATTTTTCTAATTGTATTAGTTGAAGTTATTGTAGATGAATATTTTAACTATTTTTTCATTTTTTTTTATTTTATTAATAAAATATATTTTAAATATATTTTAAAATCAGTCGATTTTAGTGATATCAAACGAGTTAGCATCTAATGTTAAATGATTTCAAAATTGGAGAAATAATTTTGCAACGGTGGGAGCAATTGGTTAAGCACAGAAGTTAGAACTTGTAACAAAGAACTAATTATACTTGAGGAATGGGTTAAAAGTTAAAAAAAGATTACGATTTGCTGAGAAAAAAATGTGATTTTCGTCGGGCTGGTTGTAAACAAACTTGCTAGAGCAGTGAGCACAGTAAAGATTGTTCCGTAACACATATTTTTCTGGTTGCTTTCTTGAGGTAAATTTACCTTGGAAAGGCTCAGCTTTTAAGGCAGCTGTAGAATTACAGCTTGGCTGGTACAGTAGATGATGTTAGGGTTACATGAGTATAGTAATTGCCTACTGGGTGGGTACTGTTTGTTAGTGAATCTAGGCTCTATAATAAGTAAAAAGATTTCTTTCGTTCTTTTTTTATGGCGGCCATCTTGCGACACTGCCATACTGCAACCCTGACGTCTTTCTATTTAATCATTCAACCGAATAATTGAGCCAGAAAATCAAATTAGGGATAAGGAGGAGAAATCACTCTCCGTACTCTCGTTAAATCCGGGATGTTTTTATTTGGAATGTTGTTGGTCTCGACAAGAACACAGACCTAATTTTCATAGTTATGATAAAGTACGAGTACACAGAAAACATACATTTATCATACCAAGTTAAATCAGACCATCAATTTTCAATTCTAGTAAAAACTTTCTCAGAGATCATTTGGTAACCATTTTTTAGCTATGTCTTATCAGCCAAGTTTTTACCGAATACTTAATTTTTTATTTCATGCTCTGAGTTGTCTAATAATAAAAATAAGTAGGTTGGAGTTATTCTTGTGACGGTATTGGTTGAAGTTACGGTAGATGACTATTTTAGCCATTTTCACATATTTTTTTATTTCATTATAAATATATTTGAAATATACTCGTAATTTTTTTGATGAATCACCAAAATCAACCAAAACTGTCACTTTAGTCCAAACTTTGTAAATTTTAACATAATATTCAACCAATTCGTTCCAAAAGCTCTACTAAAAGTTCTATAAAATTTGTAAATCAATTACAAATGTGGGAATGTTTTTATTATTGTTTTATTGTCTTACTAAGAGTAAATCAGTCCCATTTTCTGGATAAAGTAAAATTAGTTTATCTTTTTATTTATGTTCTATATGTAGTTTTTTTTGTTGAGTAATTGCTTTAATAACCACATCTTTATTCGATGGCGAAAGGACCACCCTGCAACTCCAAAGAACCAAGAATTGGATTAAATTTCTTTCAATAAAATGTCCACACAACTTAATTACTCCGTAATACTCCGTAGTTTAAGATCAAAGCCCCCGTTTTATTTATTTATTAATGGCGCCAAAAGCAGTGCTGTATTTCCCCCCAATTACATCTTTTTAAGTAAAATCTTGTCACGCCTGAGCTTGGCTGATGGAAAGAGGCCCCAAGTCTATGGTCTTTTGTCATATGACACTAGACATGTCTCCTTTTTATCCTATCTTCTGTAGGACTGCCAATGAGATGTCATGTCCTATCCTACCTATTCTTTACAACAAATGCCAGGCTTTTCACACTTAGAAGACTTTAGGGTAATACTGAGCTCTCTAGCGCCATGCCTCTCTAATTTCTGTGCTACGCTTCTGGTTAACTCTTGGGGAAAAAACTGTTCTTGCTTGCTACTCCGTATCATTGAATGTGGTTTTAGATTTGAAAAATGATTTTTGTATTCATCCTTATACTCACTTTTATATCCACTACGCCTGTGAAAGACTTTATTTTGTCTGTGAATCTGTGGGTAAAAGGGGTATAGAGTGGGTATAAGATTGGGTACAACAAGAATGGTTGTTTAGACTTTTAGTCCTTTCCTTGACCAGTATGTTTTCTCTTTACAAAATACTATTCCTTCAGTCCCAATTTAAGTTTTATCATACAATGCTCATTCACTCAACTCAGATATCTTGTAAGCTCAGATTTTATATAATAATTTCTTATCACATTCGAATTTGAATTTTGCAATTTAATAGAATTAATAATGTACCAATACTCCTATAATATAAGAGAGTTATTTTTGTTATCAATCAATCAATCTAAACTGAACCAAGAACCTTAAAATGAGACTCTTGATCCAAAATAAATTCTATATGAGACTCATTCCATAAATGTAAATTGTATACACAACCACTTCTATATGTACATGTAAGAAATAATTTCCAAATAAGTTTTTAGAGGACTTAGATGATCAGCCAGTTCAGCCACTATATCAGTATATGTCACTTTTAGTCCTTGCTAAAACTGCCATTGAGAAGGTATATCCTGAAATTATTCAATCAAAAATTACAAAATTATGAACTGGAATTAGGGGAATTGACAAGCAATTTACTCAGTGCTTTGTGTTTGTTTTTCTAAAAGATACTCCGTATTATTTTCTCAATTAACTCTCGGATAATATGTTTTTGTGGCTAATACTCAGTCAAGGAGAGCATTAAGAGCATTGAAGGCACTAGTGAGGCTGCAGGCAGTGGTTAAAGGTTACCTTGTAAGGAAGCATACGGCGGAGTACCTGCGAGGCCTTCAGGCATTAGTCCGAGCCCAATCCCGAGCTCGTTCTTCTCTTAAGACTTCTGAATCGCCTCAATCCAGTTCTAAATCTGTTCAGTTTCATCATCCTGTAAGCAAAAACCTTATACTTACACTGTTTTGCGGATACTTGCAAATTTATTACTAAAATAAATGGTATTTACAAAAATGTGACTTCTTAAGTACAATGACTATAATAATAACTTTCGTAATAGTAACTTATGTTCAATTTTTATATCTAAAATAGTATGACAATAATGACACCATAGTTATAGTAATTTTGGTCATATTTTGGTAAATAGTTTTATTTTGGTGATATTTAAAATAAAAAAAATCTTTTTTTTTAATTTGCACGATGGATATAGTAATTTGTATCCCCTTATCTATGATTATCTTTATTTTTGCTGGGTCAAAATAAAATGTGAATATCTTCTATATTTGGAAAATGAATATCAAAATTAGGGGTTTCTGCATATACCGAGTAATGTTTTATTCTTAAATTTAAAATTAGAATTTGATGGAATGGCATTAAATACTATTGCAATATTAATAAAATCCAAACTTACAAATTTACAATATTATTAATTGAACAAGCAGCACATAATTACCGATATTTTTTAATTATCATTTTTGTTTACTTGAAGTCGGTGAATTGATACATCGATCTGTTGTCCCTCTGCCGATATTTGACTAATGTCGATTAGTATCGGAGATATTATCATGCTTGTTCTGCATCTATAAATCTTTTATGGAGATTAAGAGTAAAATTACAAGATTGTACATGTTTTAGACAATGTATTTGGATATAAAGAGGTTGGAACTGACAGTAAAAGTATAGAAACATTATAGGCAAAATAGAAAACATAGAAAGGAAAAGATAAAAATATATGACAAATATTGGCAAAAATAGAAATTGAGCTAAACAAAAAGCATCCAAAAGAGAATACCAAAGAAATACGTAGTAATAATAGTTAAAAAGTAATGATAAATTAATGTCAAGTTCCCCTCCAATTATTCAACTTCGGATATGACATATGGAGTATATTTGTAATTCTATTGAATATTCGCCGTCGTTATTAAATCAATTGTTCAAACATCCCTCCAAAGTAGAGATAAACTTGGTCAATTTTACCAAGGATTTTACTCAAATTAAGACCATCACTTCGAAGAAATTTTTGGATTGAAAATTACCCAATAATCGTGCCTTTTGAGATTCTTTATTGTACATTTTCGGGGAACAAGTGAATGCACTACTTCTTGTTTTTTCTCATTCATGTTTTTTCTTGATTTACTCTTAAGCCCAACTTCCTGATATTAAGGTGCCGATATGAGTTAATAACAGTTCTTTGTCCACAATTAATGTGCAAAATTCCATATTTACTCCGACATTCCATTTTACCTAATATCTTCCATCACATGAAAATGTTAATCCCTTTTCAACTTACGTGTCTATTTACATGTTCACTTTATCACTTAGATTTGTTTTTAAATCTTGGTCAAACCAAACAGAATTGAATTGAGATGATGAGATTAGACTTAATTACTTGAACAAATAGGGCTATGTCTGAGAAGTAATGAATTATTATAAAGTACAAATAAAGTCATATCAAAACATATTGAATTAGATTATGCCAAAAAATGAGTGTAACTAACCATTTCAGATCAAAAAATTAATTTTAGTGCAAATGTTAAATGTTCAAAATAGGGGGAAATATAAACAACGCAGTACTCCTAATAATAATATGACAATTTATATTTTTTTCTCATCTTGATAGCTAACAATTAGAAAGGTTAAGGACTAAATATGAAATGAACAAATAGTCAAGGGTTAAATCTTGTGAATACAGCATTGTTTGGTGTAAACATTATTTGGACACGCTTCTCACATTTTGTCTATATCACCGACATTTAGTACTTCGTATAAATTTATGGGGCGTGTATGCTGTATGCACAAACATGTACACATCTCATTTTCCAACAAAATAAATGTTTCTTTTCCATGGCTTAATGAAAATGGATGGTGTGCAGGGGCCACCCACTCCAGAGAAGTATGAACAAAGCTTTAGAACGAGGAATGTACAAAATGAGGATCAAACTGCTCTCAAGGTATTTATTTTTCAATATAGTTGTTGCTTAAAAGAGATACTCTAACCTATACCATTGTGTAATTTGTGTACTTCAACTATTTGGGGCAATTGCTTCATTCATAGTAAACATGTATCATCTGCAATGACACAGAGAAATCATTCGAGGAGGAGAGTAACGGGTGAGAAGGACAGAATGCGATCTAACCGTCTGGACTATAGGATGGATCCATGGACCTTCGAACACCACAGAGGGTCTTCAAGGTCGGGCCCAATCGATGACTGGAAAACAGACAAGATTCTTGAAATGGACACGGCGGGAAACCCCAAACCAAGAAACCTCTTCCACAGCTCTCATCTCAGCTTAGTCTCCGACCAATACAGTCTCTACAGCACCACATCAAAGGACTCCACGGCCCACCAAATCGTCCATAGCCCGTCTTACTGCGAGGCCCAATCCGTAAGCCCACACAAGTTCGATGAAAGTTGTTTCTGCACTGCTGACAACAGCCCACAATACTACTCTGCCTCATCCAAAGGTGGTGGTGGGAATGGTTTGAGGGTAGGACCCTTCACTCCTTCCAAGAGTGATTCTACAAGAAGCGTCCTAAGTGGTTACTCTGACCACCCGAACTACATGTCCTACACAAAGTCAGCTAAAGCTAAGATGAGGTCTTTCAGTGCCCCTAAACAAAGGCCTCACCAGTACGAGCGGTCTAGCTCGACGAAGCGTTACTCTATCCACGGGTATGGTGGCGGTGGTGAGCTTAGAACAAACTCACAACGGGCCCAGGCATATCCAGGCTCAGGCCGGCTGGACAGCCTTGGAATGCCAGTTGTTAGAGACCGAGTCGGGTTCAGCGATGGTGGCGTTTGGCATAGATATTAGGCTGTTTTGAACGGTTTACCAATGCTAACTTATTTGTGTAGCTATGAAGGGTCCATTTTAATTAGTTGTTGGGAATCAGTAAAAAGCTACTCTACGCTTGATAATTGTAACATGAAAGTCTAGAATCTCTACTTCATTCACTGAAATGTTTATATGCGAAATCCAGCTCTTTTATTTTTTCATTCACTTTTTGCCTACTTTGTCATAAAATTTATTTTTGTCCATAAGGACCCATAATTGCCCAGAAATGTGCAAGAATTGATAGTACAAATAGCAGGATATTTATTGTGGACAACCTTCCTTCTGCCCAAAAAATGTGAATACTACGTGAGAATAGAAATGATAAGTCAAACCCTTGGTCAACAGTTTTCTTTAGTAAAAAAAAAAGTTTTTTTTTTAAAATGTGAATACTTGCCCATCTCCCCAACCGTGTAACACTCTCAGGACCCTACATCAGTACAGAGTACCCACAACACAACTCAATTCGATGTGTGGTCGGAATCACCGACATTCATGGGCATAAAACTCATGGTGCTTCAGCCCTAAATCTGCCATACATTTGGTTATAAAGAATTTAACTCAAATAGGAGCAAAAAAACTAGGCCTGGGACCGGTTCGGTTCCTAGGCAAAATATGTGGAACCGTTTGAAAATATGAAATTTTATTAACGGTTCGGTTCTTATAAATTATTTTATAGAACCAATAAGGAACCGAACCGTTCTTAACGGTTCGGTTCTTGTCATTTAACGGTTCCTAGTCTTTAAAAAAATCTTAAAAATCACTGTTAAATTTTTGTCTAAAATACATTTAACGTTTGAAATTACTATACAAATATGTTGAACATCATTTCAACTAAAAAGTTGAGTTTAAGATATAAATACATAACAAACTGTAAATTTTAGTAAATAAAGCAAAACAAGATATTCGCTAAAGAAGCTCACGAAAACCAGTTAAAATGAAAAATAATTTTAAATAGTTAAATATCTAAACTAAAATAGTGAATGTCATATAAAAGTAGATAAGTAAATATACATTAAAAAATATATACACCAATAAGAAATATATACAATTTTAATTATTATTATATATAACGGTTCCTTAACGGTTCCGGGTACATATTTTTTTCAGGAACCGAGAACCAACTGAACCGTTAATAAAAAATAGGAACCGAACCATTAACAAATAACTAATAAATTTTGGAACCAAACCGAACCGGGTCATAACGGTTCGGTCCGGTTTGGTTCTCCGGTTCTTGGTTCCAAAGTCCCAGCCCTAAAAAAACTAGAAAAGTTGCCACAAATTTGAGTAAAAAGTTGTTCTATTCGTCTTAATCTTATTACTTATTGCTTATATTTTATTCAGATCAGATCAGAAAAATTCAAATCAGATCAGATCAGATCAGAAACATTCAGATCATCATGTAGGAATGAAGTGTGAGTAGACAAACATACTCCTTTGGTTCAAGGAATGTAGATTATCATGTAGGATTGTTGGCAGTGGCGGACCCAGAGATTTGTCAGAGCAGGGGCACACTAGACACTAAACTTACTCTATAATAAAAAATTTAAATGTAATAAAGATGGTAAAAAATAAGGCAATAGCATAAATTATACGGAGTAGTTAATTCCATATTAAATAGTTCATTTCTGCAACTTTGGTAAATCAAGCCTACGAGTTTTCATATTCTGAAAATGTTGCATAATAGTTTCATTATCAATACTCCTAAAAACATCTCTCTCAATATAGCACACCAAACAATCTGTAAGATAATCATCTTCCATCTTATTGCGAAGATATGTCTTGAATCTTGATAACATTCATCGCAGAGAAGGCTCTTTCAACGGTGACTGTTGCAACTGGCAAGGCCGGTCCCAAGAAAATACGGGCCCTGTACAAAAATAAAATGTAGGCCTTTTCCTAAAATAGGTAGAAATATAATATAAGTGAAAATTATATTTGTAAAATTTTGATACAATAATAATTCATATACATCAAAATACAAGTTATTCACTAACATAATAGTTAAAATAAAACTATTCCCTAACAAAATACACTTCATTTATTTGTTAAATTGAATTATAAATTAATAGTTAAAATAAAACTATTCCCTAACATCAATATAATTGATAGACTTAATGAGCATTTGATACATATTTAATAGTTTGTTAATTTAATAATGACATGCAATAAAAATAAAAGTAGTTATAATTATAATTACAAATTAATATTAATAATTGTAGTGGATGGCATATATGAGCTTAGAATCTAATGAGTTTTTAGTTATACTTTATATGATATAAAACTACAAATTGGGAGAATGTTAACAACAACCAAATGGTTGAGACGGTTTAGTGTCCTCATGGGTACCCATCAGGGTTCGAATCCCCTGGTGTTAAAATTTTTTAATTGTGAAGCATGGGATCTGAAAATTGGGCTCTATTTGTTGTGATACTAAGGGGGTGTTTGGATCTGATTCTCAAAACTGATTCTGTTCCTGGGTGAAATTCCAGAAGCACTTCTCGAGCTCTAATTTACTCTCAGAATCAGATTTTTTAGAAGCTGGGAGGTACCAGCTTCTGAAAACCGATTCTACTTCTGCTTTTAAAAAAGAAGCAGAAGCAGAATCAGTTCCAAACCCCCCTAAAGGAGGGCTATTGAAAATTTGGGCCCTCGAAATTTATGGGCCCTGTGCGGCCACACCGCTGGCACACCCTTTGGGCCGGCCATGGCAACTGGTAATACTAAAGCCAACTCAATCAGACGATATACCAAGTGAAAAGAATTGTGAATTTTAAGCTCAACCATCTGTTTGCAAACTTCACCAATAGTCTGTAAGGCAGAAAATAATTCATTTGTTCTTATTTCATATATCCACACCTGGAGTTGCTCTTTCAGCTCCATTCGATCAACAGATGAAAAATCGCATGAATACTAATAATTTTTTGTATCTTCATTGTCTAATACTAATAATTTTTTGTGCGGGTTGGGGCACTAATTTTACCTGAAGTAGTACTAGTGAAATTTTCGGCCGGAAGCAGGGGCACCTATTTTACCCTAAATACTAGTAGTGAAATTCCTGGCCGGAAGCCGGGGCACCAGTGGCGGATTGACAATTTGGGTTTTGGGTGTTCAACTTTTTTCTGCCATTAAAACTTTAAACAACAACATTAATTACCCTAAATTGACACATATATACTCAAAGACTTTTCAAAAATCTAAGTGTTCAAGAGAACACTTTTGATACATAGTGGCTCCGCCACTGCGGGGCACTTGCCCCGGTAGGTCCCGCCCTAGGTCCTCCACTGATTGTTGGGTATGTTAGATTGATGAAAATGTATTCAAATTATTCTCATTTGTGTTTGGTTAAACTTAAGGGAATGTCAAATTAATTTACTTAGTTGAAAGACATCATGTATAGCAGATTTGGTGAATTACTTCAATGTCATTTAAAAAAAACTCTTAACACAATATACTATTACAACTAACATCTAGAGTAAATGAAGTTTAAGAAAAAAAATCTTAATAATAAATAAAATTAAAAATAATTGAATAATTTATAAGTCAAGTATGTTTAATTGTTAAATGTTGTAGATCCGATACACAAATTTAAAAACTTTGTTCAAGTAGTAATTTAAATATACTACTACGTACGTATTTATTATCACTTCAAAAAAGTGAATCTAAAAAATGCTCAAGTTATTCATAAAACTTTCTTTCAAATTAAAGAAAAAATGATCAATTTTGCCATTAAGTTTAAAATTCACTCATCAAAAACTTAAATAATCTATAAAATAGACATGCGAATACAATTAAATAAACATACTCCATCCGTCACACTTAAAAGGTTGTCAAACAATTTATGATATTTCACTAACCATATAATTAACTAATACATGTCAATAATAAAATTATTTTTAGTAAATACGTAGTAAAATTTACGTATTCAAAGACTACATTAAAAGTTTTATAAAGTCGCAAAAATCAAATTTGATAAAAGTTGGATATATAAAGTAAAACATTAAAAACATTTACGTTGACTAGAGAATAGTGTACAAGAATTTCTTTTAGTCGGACGGATTTTGTACTAATAGTCTATATTCATAAGGAGATCAAATATGGTGAAAAAATATAGTCCCCAATTGAAGATGGAAGAATTGAAAAAAAATTAAATGAAAAGAGATAATTAATTAATGGTATTTTCAGAAGAAAATTAGGTCATACCTGAGAATGCCAGATAACCTAAGGCACAAATGGGTATAGCATTTCCCTCCATATGACATCTTTGGGAATGTAATTTTCTCGATTTTTTCTCAACCCCGTGAACAAGATATGGGCATTTAACAATCCTTATCACATTCTGACCTTCGTGTGAGATTGCCCAAACCAAAAATGCCCTTAGAGTTACTTAAAGTCTAGTGTAGGGGTGTAATCGAGCCGAGCCGAGCCCGAACTCACATATGCTCGAACTCGAGCTCGAAATTTTTTTCCGTGCTCGAGCTCGGCTCGAGTTCGATCGAGCCTAAATTTTATGACTCGAGTTTGGCTCGACAGCTTCGCACAAAGATCGCGAGCCGCTCGAGATCAGCTCGAAATCTTAGGCTTTTAATCACCAACCTTGCATATGGGCTGTTTGTCCTATGCTACGATGGTTAGAACGGAGACGAGTGGTTTTATAGGTTGATAGCATGAGTACCTTCTCCTCAGTTTTCGGTGTGGGAAGCTAATCTTAGAGGTTTAAAATGTATATAGAGGAGTAAAACTTAGGAACTAAAAAACAGTCGAAGGAGGGATTCGAACTCGAGTTGACGGTGCAATTGCTACACTGATCAATTTCCAACTGATCTACACACGGTGTTGTTATTTTTAATCTCAAACCGTTGTTAACATGTACTTCTACGAGTACTGATTATTATAATATGGTTATATAATAATATGGTTATAATAATATATTTAATTATTACTATTATATTATCGTAAGTATTAGAAATACAGTAATCCTAAATTAGAATAAATATTCCAAAAATATTATATTTATATATACATATATATATATATATAATTATACATAATATTTGTATATACGTACACATACCGTGGCTCGCGAACCGGCTCGCGAGCCACGAGCCTGAAATAATTAGGCTTGACTCGAGCTTGTTAAGTATTCGAGTCGAGCCGAACTCGAGTCGAGCTGAAA